GGGGGGGGGGGTGGGTAGGTAATGCTATACAATTCCAACTGCATGACATTATAGAAAACAAAAAAATATAGTGGAAAAAAAGTAGTTCAGAGGTTCCATGGTTTGTGCATAGAATGTGAACTTTGAAAAGGAAAAAGAGATTACTTTTAGGGATGATGAATGTGTTCTAAATCTTGACTTTGGTGGTAATTGCATTCATGTATTTATCAAAACTCATGTACTCTATTCTTAAAATGTGTGTATTTTACAACATACATACACTTACGCCTCAATAAAGCTATTTTAAAAATACATATTATACTAAAAAAAACTTCAGCTTTCAGCCAGGTCCCCTGAAAACCAAATATTTTTGTATGTTATATAGATTTTAACAAATTAAGAAATTATAACTTTGATGAGGAAAGATTATATCAGATAACAATTATGCAGAAACAATCCACAGACTCACAAATAAAATAGTAAATATTTAATTGAAGCTGGAACTCTTCCATTATATTTTTCAATTTTGCTGAAAATCCATATTCTTAAGATGGGACAAAAACTTCAGCCATGACTTAAGGGAGATAATGGAAAGAGGCGAGAATCATTGCAGCAACCCCTTTGGGGAATTAGGTACAAGATAAAAAGAGTGGGGCTGGGAATATTTATATATCAAGAAACTTTCAGCTCCTAAAAAAATAATGGGAACAGAAAAAACAAGGAAAGAAAGGCTAGTGGTCAGGAAACCAGAAAATTTGATCACTGGAATTTAAATTACCCTGAAGTTGACATCATTTCTGCAGTCCTAAATTCGTGGTGAAAGAACAGACATTTGAGGGGAGGGTATAGGCAGCACAGTTAAACAGTGGGGCAGTGATAAAACTGACACACAGGAAATGACTTCAGGATATTAGAAATGCAAATACGCAAGGGAAGGAAGCTCTGGTGCTCCAAGCCATAAAGGTCAGATATTACTCAGGAATATTCTAATATTAGTCTCCAGTTAAAATTCTATTTTCAAATCTCATTACCAAGGAACTCCACAGTACATCCATTTTCTGTTGTCTAGAATTTCATTATCGTGAATGTTCTATTCTCAGTCAAGAGATACTGGAAAGCAAAGTCATCTCTAGTTCAACCACGAGTTGCTGTGAATTAAGAAGCAGAAAAAAAAATCTTCATAATCATCTACTCAGTTTTAAGGGTACCATTAAGTATGCAACTCACCCTTTCTTAGTCACAAAATCTTATGTGTGTGTTGGAAGACTGGATAGGTTTCCCTGAGCAAGCAACTGAGACAGGCCTAGAGTTTAAAGTCAATTGTTCACTAGTATTTCTGCTAAGAAGTCCTGCTTTCTTGTCCTCCTTGCCCACTCCCCCATTTCATTCAGTAACCTTCTCTAGAAGTCTCTAAAATACCAAAATGCAACACTGTCAAGACCCAGCTCTTTTCTTCATTTGAAGTTTAATTTCTCACTTGTCATATTTACTTCTGTTAACCAACTTCCACTAGGTCTAAGACTGAATCAAAGAGAAGGGAGGGAGGGGCACCTGGGTGGCTCAGTTGGTTAATCATCCCATTCTTGATTTGGGCTCAGATCATGACCTCTCGATTGAGAGATTGAGCTCTATGTTAGGCCCTACGCTGCTGAGCGTGGAGCCTGCTTGGGATTCTCTCTCTTCCTCAAAATAAATACGCATTAAAAAAAAGATAAAGAAGAGAAAGGTTGGCTATGATAGAATAAGCCTTGCACTTGGAACCATACACTGGTTGAAGTTCCACAGACTTCTGAACAAACTGATACAAATATACATCCCACACATATTCACAGCACCCTGTACATGCATTAAGTATAATTCCACTTACTATAATGTAATTATCTCTTTATTTGTCCTCCCACTCCCCAAGACTGTAAGTTCTCTTAAGGTAGTGATTGTCTCTTCCTACCCAGAAGAATGTCTGGCATGCCTGTGAAATAGACAAGTCATTTCACTTCTCTGAGTTTCATTTTCCCATGTACAAATTATAACAAAAAAAAAAAAAAGTAGCTTCTTTTGGGATTGTC